GTGATGTGTGAAGAGGAAGGACTCACCAGAACCATGTTCCTCCTTCTGCTTCACCCGCCTCGAGCACCCTCACCCGCAACCCTAGCTGGCGCATGCGCAGAAGGGAATAGATTCCGCTCAACCCAGCGCCCACGATGAGGACATCATAGTCCAGATCTTTGTTGGCCTGCTCGAATGCTGACATGGTGTTGGCTGTGCGGTCTAGAGATCCCATGGTGTGTCTGTGTGTGTTGCGTGCGTGTGCGAGTGCGAGTCTGAGTCTTAGGAACCCAACAGGATGGATAACTAGGGCGGTTGCTTGCTTATGGTCCAAAACAAGGACCTCAACATCGGTAATTAGAGGCCATTCGCACTCGGCATAAAGGATGCTCGGCAAAACTTAACCCGCGAACGCGTTTCCCCAGAAAATCCCCCGCATCTTGGCCCTCAAACCCTTGAGTCCCGGGAGCAACTCCAGATCTCCAACCCGACCCCGGTTCCGGTATTCCAGAGCTGGACAGAGCCGAGTGCCGAAGTACCAGCTAGTCGCGCTAGAGCCTTAGTATATGCTCGTTGGTGTGGGTACGGCTATGCGGCGTCTGGGCAAGTACTTCTACTGGGTTGGACCAAGGGGGATGGTTGGCGATCAGTATTAATGGAGGTGGCCAATATTGATCAAACCACTATACCGGCCGGCTGGTTTGCCACGTGGGATCCATGGTGAGCACAAATTCATCTGTAGTCAGAGGCACATCCCTGTCAAGGAGCAACACTGCCTGTGGCGCATGTGATTCGTCTCAGTCGTATGGGGGGTCTTCACAGCCCAGCTTCAATCAATTAAACGTGGAGGTTTTACAGCGTCTCAGAGCGGGCTGTCAACATAGAGTACGCGAAAAAAAAAAAAAAAAAAAAAAAAAAAGCGAATGGAAGAATGGCTTCATACAAGCAGGTTTTGAGTACAAGCCGTGGGTCTTCAGGCGGAAATGTGAATGAATACCTTCATTTCCTTGAAGCTGGAAACTCTTCAACAAATGACCTCTCAAGGCTATCGTATCTCCCTCACCAGTAATCAACAAACAACATAAACTTCATAAGTTCATACCAGCCCCTTATCCTTCCAATACCCCTCTAAATCCTTCAAAAAAGCCCAGTGCAATCGTTCCCCCCAACCTTTCTCTTTCCACTCATTCAAGGCCCCGGGAAAATGCTCCACACTATTCATAATATCAAGATCATGAGCAATAATAACCATGACATTCTCCAGACAGTCCAATTCTTGCAATTTCCACATCGTCTTGGTTGCAAGTGGAATGTCCCCGCCAAAAGTCATATCGAACAGAGTGTTCGTCGGTTTTCTCCCTCTAGAGGTCTGGAGCTCCTCCCACGCGTGGCCCGGACATAGACTCATGTTCATATCGGTGCTGTGGCAGGGGTGAGGCGTGATCTTGTCTGGGATGGGCAAGTGCTCTGATGGCCGGAAGATGCCCGCGTAGTGGCAGACGTCGCCTCCCAGGAGGACGAAGGTGCTGTCTGGATCTGGTGTCGTGCGAGCGAGGCCGCATAAATGACCAATGGCGTGGCCTGGGCTGTCGAGGAGGTAGAATGAGCCGTCGCCGAAGTAATCGTATGCTGGGAAGGAGCCGATTTGTGTGCGTTTTGGGTCGGAATCTGAGTATGTGATTTCAACTAGGTTGCGGCCTCTACGCACTCATATGGTTAGTGGTTGTGACAAGTTATTGGGGAGAGTAGAGTGGGCACTTACGTGTAATCGCTTTCGAGGATGGGCGAGTCCGGGTTTGCTGGCGCACCTGGGAGCATGGCGTCCTTGAAGCCGGGGCCGACTATCAGGTCCGTGGTTGAAGGAAAGGTAGACGGGTCACCGATGTGGTCCCAGTGCCAGTGGCTTTGCAGATAATTAGCACGAGGCTCAGCTCATAGGTAGTTTTGTTGGGGTAAGCTCTCACCTCCAAATTACAGCCTCGATCTCCTCGCCCTTCACACCTCCATTGGCAAGAATATCTGCCACATTCTGGGATTTGATGGTATAGCCCGTCGAGGGCAGATAGTTGACGATCTTGGGAGCGAGGTTGTCAGGGTCCTTGCGAATCCCCAGGTCAAAGACGAGTTTTCGACCGGAGGGATGCTCGAGGAGGAACGAAAGTGAACATCCCCACTCGGGTTTCTTGTGTCCTGGTGCCGCGGGGCCCATGAACCGTGACATTTGGATCGGGCCAAAGCTGGTTGGGTTCATCATCTTGACGCTGACGGTCTCCCGTCCAGCGGGGAGCTGAACACGTGGTTGCTTGGCTGCCATTGTGATGGTGTGCTGTGATTCCTTTGATGGTGTTGATATCCAATAATGTAAGCTACATCAACCACTGTATGTCTTCTATCTTTGTACTTGGTTAGAGGCAAATGGGGAGGCCGGCTCATATTATGCCCCCTTGTCTTTTGGGTTTGCGGGGAAATATGGGGAAGAACGGCTACTGGAGCTTCACTAGATCCTTCGGCTATGTTTAGTCTCTCCAAGGTCCATCACAGACCCCGCCGGAACTCCTATTCTGGACTAATACGCCAAGTATCGGCTTTGGGATATCATTAGCCATGCATTCCAGATCGTCGTTGACTGGCTCGCAGCAAGGAATCTCCAGGTTCGTCCCCAGAATCAGCCATGCCGGCGACCAAGCAGGTGTCCGGGAACCCGGATCCTCAGATCTTGTTTTCATCTATCCTTCTGGGGTAAACCGGGGTACGCGTGCGTCAGCCTGGGCCAGTCCATCTACATAAAGGCGACCCGAGAATCTGGTTCCGCGATCAGCTTTGTCTCTTGTTTCCTGTATCATCTCCAACAACGGACAACTGGGTCTGACAACTGCCCATCATGTCTGAGAAAGAATCCGTCCAGATGGCGGAGAACCCCGACACAGCCTCCGCCAACGAAGTGCCAGTGAAGAAGGCCAACTCCATCGACACGGTCCACAATGACGAGGCTGTGGTGGTGCTCGCCAACTACACGGGCGAGCAGACATGGACGGATGCTGAAGAAAAAAAGCTCCGCCGCAAGATTGATTGGCGGCTGATGCCGGTGCTGTGCATGACCTACAGTCTGCAATACTATGACAAGGCCATGTTGGGACAGGCTGTAAGTCGCTCTCTCACTCTCTAGGCGGGATCCTTGCTGACTTGGGTGTCAAGGCCATCTTCGGACTGCGGACGGATCTCGACCTGCTAGTTGGAACCCGTTACTCATGGAGTGCATCCATCTTCTATCTGGGCTACATCATTGGCTCTTACCCTGCCATGGTGCTTGCTCAGAAGTTCCCGGTCGAGCGGGTCGCTTCCGGCCTCGTTGTCCTCTGGGGCTTATGTCTCATGCTTACGGTGGTCTGCAACAGCTACCAGGGTCTCTATGCCCAGCGCTTCTTCCTTGGCATGCTCGAATCAGGCGTATCCCCGATGTTCATGTTGATAGTGTCAGTCATATTCTTGTTTTCCTCTCCCGGAAATATTTTGCTTTTTCTTTTATTTTTTCTTTCTGAAGAGATAAAAAGAAATAAAAAACAAGGAAACGCCCCTTTCACTTACTGGGGACTTTTTACTGACAACAGCTATGCATTAACAGGGGATCCTGGTACCAGAAGAAAGAACAGGCCATGCGAATGGGCATCTGGTATAGCATGACTGGTTATGTCTCTGTTGTCTCGCCGCTCATCAACTACGGCCTCGGCCAGATCGGCGGTGGCGCCTCTACCTGGCGATATATGTATTATTTTGGCGCCTCTCTTACTCTCCTGTGGGGAGTCGCCCTGTTCTGGGTGCTGCCGCCAGACCCGATCAACGCGAAAGGTTTCACCGAGCGCGAACGCTTCATCTTGGTAGCCCGCCTGCGGACCAACAACTCCGGCGTCAGGAACACACACTATAAGGTGGACCAGATCATTGAACTGCTTCTCGACGCCAAGTTCTGGATACTGTTCGCCGTTTCGTTCCTCAGCATGATCGCCAACGGGCCCATCTCGACTTTTATTCCTATCATCATCGGTGGGTTTGGGTACAGCCAGCTCAACTCGCTGCTTCTGATGATGCCCTGCGGTGTCTATGCCGGCAGCATGATGTTGCTTCTGTCTTATTTGGCGTCGAAGCTCAAGAATGCGAGGAGTTACCTCATCTTGGTGGCCGAGTTGGGCACCATTCTAGCTTCGCTTTTGCTGTGGCTCCTTCCGCTGAATGCCAAGGGTGGTCTTCTGTTTGCGGTGTTTACCCTGCCTTCTCTTGGTGCCGGATATGCTGTTCTTATGGGACTCAGTGTGGCCAACATGGCTGGCTACACCAAGCGATCCATCGCTTCGTCCGGTATTTATATCGGCTACTGTCTTGGTAACTGAACTCCAGCGTTTTGATCAAAGTTGCAATCCATGCTGATTACTGAGCGGCAATGCAGGAAACTTCGTTGGCCCGCTTGTCTTCAAAGCCGAGGAGGCGCCAAGATATGCTAGTGGTTTCATCATTGTTGTGATCACCTCCATTGTATCTGGTGTGCTCATCATCGTGTACCGCTTGCTCTGCGTGTGGTCGAACAAGAAGCGTGACAAGGCCGGCATCATGGAGGGCTTCGAGCATGCCTATGAGGATGACTTGACGGATGTCAAGGTATGTCTACTCCCGCACGTATCCTTTGATGATAGATTGTTAACCAAGTTGTATCACAGAACCCTCAGTTCCGCTATATCCTCTAGGTAGCCTTGGTGGCTGGATGGCATGGGTGGGAGGTTCGGTGCACTGGGCATTGATCGCGAAGTTGCATGTCCAGCTCCAAGAGGAGGGCTCTTGGTAGACTGGTATCAGAACATTCGAGTTAGCAAGTACAATTTACTTGGCATTTGCACGAAAGTGCCTGCAATAATACAATGTATGTGATACCAAGGCAGTTGTTGATGTAAAACGGTGGTAGACTTGTCTGTGATGGGCAATGAGTTTTATAGGGACGCAAAGAGGCGCCTTATGCCAATAAGAGTTAAAGCGGGTACATGGTCTAGGGGTATGATTTTCGCTTCGCACAGGCGATATTGTGAAAGGTCCTGGGTTCAAATCCCAGTGTATCCAATTTCCTTTTGCTTTTTTTTATCTCATGATATCCCACGTCCCAATTTCATTATCCTCATCGGACTTCGTGAAATTATCATTTAAACTTTTGCACACTTTTCTGAAAGGTTCACTCAACCTTTCCCTGGGCTTTGTTTTGATCGCGGTACTTACCCCTTTCTGGACAAGGGCAGTGGATAGGGGGCGACATCCTGCACCCCGCAACTCCTCCCCGCATTCCTCCCGGCTGTAGGAAACCGCTGGGCTTCCTGTTCATCATCAGTAATCACCCGAAGGTTCCGCATAGAGTCGACCATGGCTGAAATCGTCAGCGACTGGCTTCACTACGACAGTCGCCAACCCAAGAGGAAACGCGCAGAACTGGTTTGCTCGGCCTGCCACTCTAAGAAAGTTAAATGCGATCTTCAAGTCCAAAGCAGAGACAATAGCGAAGGATACGGCACCTGCTCCAACTGTTTTGCCGCGTCACGAGACTGCCAGGTCTACATATCCAAGCGAAAACGGCATTACTCCAACACAGATGCAAGCTCCAACGGAAATGTTCCCGGCGCGGGACGTCCAGCCACGGCGGTCTATCCCCGATCGCCTTCGGTTGAGGTTGACGATAGCATCCAAGTCACTGCCGTTGCTCCATCCCAGCCCCTATCTCAGCCCCAGACTTCGTTGGTAGTGTCAGTCCTGCCACCAGCACGACCGCAGCAACAACCACAACACCAACCGCCTGGTCATGAACGACAACCATCACACCACACGGAAACACCCCAATCACAGCGAACAGCTGAGCAAGTAACCACGGGCAGAAGCAACCCCATCGACGTCGACACCGGCTTTCTGCATGTATACGGCCTCGAAAACCAAATCGACGCAGAACGCCAAGAGCTGGAAGCCACCCTCGAGCAAAGCTACTCCCTGTCAGACGCCCAGCACCAGGAACTGCAACAAATATTCGCAGAGACCTACATCGAGTACTGCTACCCGTGGTGTCCAGTTCTCGACATCGACAGACTGGGAGAAGACACCCTCCGCTCTCCGCTCCTGGCCAACGCTCTAGCCTTAGCGGGAAGCCACATCCGACCACCACTGATACCGCACGACGGCCCAGCGGCGTACTACAAGCGCGCCACATCCATTTTCTACAACGACGAGGAATCGGACGGCCTGACCACCTTGCAAGCTATATCACTGTTCTACTGGTGGGCGCCGCGGTCTCCGGCCCTCGCACGGCGACACTCCTCATGGTGGTGGACATCCGTCCTGATCCGCCATGCTCAACAGATGAACTTCCACCGGGAGCCTGGCCCCAATCATCCACTTCGCGACGTGTTGCAGTTAGCTCTGCGCAGGAGGATATGGTGGACGGCGTTTGCGAGGGAACGGCTGACCGCGCTCTGCCAGAGCAAGCCGTGCATTATTGATCCGGCCGACTGCAGCATCCAGCCGCCTACTTTGGCCGATTTTCCTGCCGACGCGAAATTACAAAGAAAAGGGGAGGTGTTTATTCATTGGGTGAAGCTTTGCGGTATAATGGGCAAGATCGCCAAGACGCTGTCTCGCTCTTCTGGGGAAGGATTTCCGGATGATTTGCGTCAGGAATTGGTTGGCTGGGTTCATTCCCTTCCCTCGCATCTGCAGTTGCCTATTGGGTCTGCGAGGACAGAGATCTTTGATAGGGATGTTCACCAGTTACATCTGCCGTACCTGACTACGATTATTGTGATGCATCTGCGAAGGTCGGCGTACGATTTGCCGCAGGCGCTGCCGCCGGCTATTCTTGCTGCGTCGTGCATTGTTCGGATTCTGAGAGATATTTTGTCAAGAGGAGACACGCGTTTCTTGATGCCGATTACGTGCTGGTATAGTGGGACGGCGTTCATCGCGCTGTTGCAGGCGTGTCGGATCGAGAATATTGCGAAGGACGCGCACGAGGGGCTCGATGTTCTCACCAATGCCATCGAGCAGCTGCAGCGCATGTGGGGGTCGGCAAATGTGGTCAGGCAGGGGTTTGACCGGCTCAGGAAGTCGCATGCTGGTGCTGGTGGTGGTGGTGGTTTTCGGAACTCGCAGCAGCAACAACCGCCGGATCAAACTACGTGTGGTAATGACGCCGTTCCGTTGAATAATGGTGATGTTGGCGGCCAGAACCAGCGCGAAGAATCCTTCGAGTGGCCGGCACTGTTCCCGTTTGTTACTCGGTCGACGAGCAGGATTGCCAGAGCGCTTTTGCCTGGCACCGAGCCGGGAGAGATGCCGCTTACACGGTTCCCGTCGCCTGATAATCTTCTTTTCCATGAGACGTTTATGCAGGATTATCAGGGGTTTTTTGATCCGTTCGATCCGTTTCTTGGGGGCGGGTTTGGAGATGCTGTTGCTAATAATGGGTTGAACAATTTCCTTTGATGGCATTGTTATGCAACTGGATGGGGATATAATCGAGCCAACAAAGAGATGTTTCGCAAGAAAGGAATGGGGTGTTTGTAATGTTTAACTGGGTATTGAAAATCTTGATCTACCTCTCAACTGCTTGCCATATATGCTATGTATTCACCTCACAACAACAAGTTCAAGCCTTCACAGCCGTAACCTTTGCCTCCTCAGTCGGCACCGGATCCGGCATCTTCTTCTCCACATACCACGCCAAATCGCTGCCCTCATCCATCTCAAACTGCGTAAACCCATTCCCCATGAACCGGAACGGATTAGCGGTATTATACTCAATCTCAAAGTCTTCAGGCCTCAACTCCCTCAGCAACCTGTTGAAAAGATGCGCGCTGCCACCAAACAGCGCCGTGACCCGTCCATCCACCTTCCCTCTCTTATACCAACTGCTGCAGGCACCTGACCAAACAAGCGTCTTGTGCACCTGATCACCGTGTTTGATGAACGCGTCGAGCTTCTCCTGCTTCGGGTGCACGGCCTTGATGTCCTCCGTCGCGATCTTGCGGATCCACTTGACCATGTAGTCGCCCGTCCAGTCGAGCGACATGATCAGACTGCCGTGCCCTCCCAAATTGTTGGGTCCGGTCATCATGAAGTAGTTCGGATACTGAGGAATGCAGATGCTCAGGTAAGCTTTCGCTTCGTCGGCCCATTGCGTCGCGATGTCGGTTGTTTTGTCGAGCCCGACGATGGGATACCGTGGCCGGTGACTGACGTCGAAGCCTGTCGCGCATACCACTGTTCACCTTATCAGTATCCCTCCCTCATCGGGTGGGTGTGGGGTGAAAACATACCAACATCGCATTCATAAACCTGCCCATCGGCGGTATGCACAGCGTTCTCGCTGACCTTGGTGATAGCACTGTTGGTCAAATGACAGTTCTCCCGCAGAAAACTCTCCAGATACCCCGGCCCAGGCGTAATGCGTCTGCATCCCAACTCCCACTTCGGAATCAACATATCGCACAAATCCTTCCGATGCCCGAGCTTCTCCGCCATCTGCGCAGCAGCCAGCTTCATGGCCGCAGCATTGGTCTCCCCCTTCCGAAAAATATAAAAACTCTTATTGCTCCTCGCAATAATTTTCTTCCGTTCCATCTGATGAATCTCTGGATCTCTGAACCGTGCCTTCTCCTCCTCAGTATACTGAGGATTGGGGTCAGCCGTCTCTCTGCCGAGATGCTGCGACGGCGGCGCACGGTAATACACCCACGCAGGACCACGAATAAAATTCTTGACATCAGTTTCTGGCAGCTTAGCCATCTGCGGCACGATCTGGATTCCTGAGGACCCATTGCCGATTACCGCGATCCGTTTGCCCGAGTAGTCGTAGTTGTGGTCCCATCGCGCCGAGTGGGTGATGTGCCCCTTGAAGGTGCCATCCCGCAAGCCAGGGATAGCTGGCCAGTTTTCGTGCACCAGCACGCCTTGGGACGAGATCAGCACGTGGCAGTATTCGTCCCGTTCAACATCGTTGTGCGAGACGGTGACTTTCCATTGGCCGGAGGAAGGGAGCCAGTGCGCACCGACGACGCGGTGGTTGAGGTGCACGTCGCGGTCGAGGGACCATTTTTTGACTGTCGCTTTGATGTAGGCCTGGATGTCACCTCCCGAAGCGTAGAACCTGTCCCAGTTCGGGTTTGGGTCGAATGGGAATGCCTATTATTGTTAGTTAGTTTAGTGTTTGATGTTTGAGGGCACTGGGGGGTGTGGGAAGAGAGGAACTGCTGACATAAATGTGTGCGGGCACGTCACACTGAACACCGGGGTAGTTGTTCATGAGCCAGGTGCCGCCGATGTCGGGCAGCGCTTCAAAGATCTTGTGCTCGACGATATCCCTCATGTCCTCGTGGCGGTGCTGGAACTTGTGCGCCATCAGCAGACCCGAAAAGCCGGCGCCGATGGTGATCACCTTGATTTTGCGACGTGTGTAGGCGTACACGTCCGGTCGCAGCTTGAAGGGATCCGTGTCCATGTCATCGTCTAGCTTCGAGGGGTGTGAGACGGCTGAGGGTTGGAGGAGCACATTGGGGATCTCGGTTGGTGTATCGGTGTCCAGGACTGCTGCGGTAGGCGGCGAGGGTGCCAGCGGTGTTTCTTGGAAGGCCGTCATTTTGGCGATAGGCCTCTGAGTATTCAGACTGCTGGATGAGAGAAGAAAGCAGCTGACTGATGTAATCAATGCAGTAGATGTGATGACCTTGATACGCGCAGGTGATCAAGTCTTCACAGATATGGTCTGGCCAACAAAAACATCTTGAGCTTGACTTGAGACCTGCCTCTTAACTGATAGCACATTTTGACCAGTCTACCCCAAGACGTTGAGACCACGATCGCCACCGAACCGGTTAGAGACCTTGATGGCCAAAGTCCCGTAGTCTCGGGGCATGGCCGCCGGCCGGGATTCTCCACACCGGCAATCCCAATCCGGACATGCCGTCTGCCGAACGTCAAACATGGGCCCCTGAACCCCTATCTCCACGGGTCTCCGCCTCCCCGCAATCCATCGCCGGATTCCTCATGCACCCCAACCGTGAGAATGCGGGGAGAGCTGCCGGGGCGAA